CTTTCTTCTTTCGCTTTTCCATTTCACTGAAGTTTATAACCAACACACCACACTTCCAAAAGCTCTCTTATCATAAACTTGCATTAGCAAGAACCTTCCCTAATAGTTTCTAGCGTGCCATAAATGGTATTCCACCAGAAAATAGCAAATGAAAACCAATTATGTAGCACACACGGAAATCGATTAGCAAAAGCCAATTGAGTAGGGTAGGTCAGAAATCGAAAGCGAAAGCAGAGGCCAATGTCACACAGCCTTCACGCATTTAACGAACTACCAACAACATGTGACGCTGACGAAAAATGTCATTTATTTGCGTGAATGTCAAATGCGAAAACACACACTCATGCGAATGTTTGATTCACATGCGTACGATACGCCGCATCGCCTACCAGCAGCTATTTACATACATATGTAAGTATGTAACAACTACTCAAACTGCAACAGAGCTACGTAGTAACGCACTGTCGGCCATTGCAAAAAAACAGTTCATCATCGCTACTACTAAAAGTGACAGCTGCTTCGTTACCGCAGAACTCCACAGGCGAACAGCGATGGCCTACCAACTGTCATTTTGACGAGCAATGTGATTGCAAGTTTTTGTGTGTGGGAACTTTGATGTCTTGAAATAAGCATTTGCCGCATGACGCCACCAGACAACATTCTCTCAATTTCGGTGTTTAAAAACATTTAAATCTTTAAAAAACTTGCTGAATAATTTCCTAAAACGTAATCATAAATAATCCAATAAGGAACAGACTTTTATTTTGATTTAATATAAAAATTTCATCGATGTTACCACCAGCACGCTTTCTTACAAATGAAAATATGGCTGTCAAACTATCGAATTGCCTGCAATAGATGTCAAGCAATAAGCGCTGACATATATTGCAGCACATGAGAAATAGGCGGTCTCCATTGGAAATATATTTTGTGACATAGTTTTCACGACATCAGTGTTTTCCTGTGGAGACAGGGCCTTAGCGGCACTCACATTAAACTGATCGAACGAAGGACACAATGCTCGTCGCATTCGTATGAGCTCGTATGAGCTGTCCTTCAATGCCACTAAATAAGTGTGTATGTTTACAGAATTGTTGTTACTTTGTTAATAAATTGTCACTGCAAGTCATTGGCGTTGTCGCCCAGAGATAGCTCACCGTTAAGGATGCCCACATGCATTGCAACAATGAGTAATTACGTAGACGAAGAGGGTTGAGCGGCCCACTGAGTAGGACATAGTAAAGCCAACGCGTGTTGTAATAAACAATCAGCAACCAATCAACGGCGCTGAAAAGCCAGCAAACTAGGCAAACAATTTGCTTTGTACGTCCCTCGCTCCTTTTCCAAACGCGCTGGATTTGGACGCTGTTGAACTGTTCCACTAAGTTTTGTGTGCACAACTACTATTAAGACAGTTGAAAGGCGTGGCTCTTTAGCTGTTGCACTCCATTAAATCATTGCTGATTATCTGCTGAGGAAGAAGTAAAAAAACGCTAGCTAGCAAAACAACTACTAATGCAACTACAACTACAGCAAACTAACTCGCCACTGGATCAAAAGCTTAACGCAGTGTTTCTCTCGTGCTAAATTTTAGCGACTTTCAACAGTGTTGTCGAAAGCTCATGGTTACAGTAGCTAGATATCGGCGATAATTTCTGTTTCTGTGTTTGTTCGAATATCCCAGTCGGCAAAATTAGAATAAAGGTATCTTCCAGGAGCCCTTATTTTCTTGATTTTTGTTATCCCTGTTAGGGCCTTCGAGACCTACTGATTCTGATATTTTTTCTTTCGTTGCTATGCTACCATAGATTAGATATATATTTTGGGTTTCATGACCGCTGTAGTGTATATCATGAGGACGTGGTGACCATCCAGGGGACAGCACGGAGTCTGTCTAAAACCCCGAAACCAGTCTACGGTTTCGCGGCAGTCAGAAAGCTCACAATTACAAAGTCAAATATTGAAAGTAGTAAATCTTGGAATAAATGGCTCACAGTCAAAGTTTTAACTCTTGGGGATACCCAAGTACACGCAGTTGGTTAGGGATCACACAGCTCTAGCAGCTGATGGAATCTGGAACAAACTTTCATCCTCTAAAGCTTCCAGGATTATCTGGGCTTCTCCTAACAGGAAAATAAAATTGTTTATGTTAATTTTAATCAAGAAAATAAATGTTCTTCCTTATAAGAACTTTAACGAGCCTCTGCCTTATTAGCTCACATTTTAGGCACACACAAGGATAGACCGATCGGACAATTATAGTTGCAAATACAAAAAATATAGTTTTTAACACCTTCTACGACAAGGCCCGCCAGTAAGCGGAAGTGGATTGCGCACGCAGTCTTTTTTTTTTTTTTGAAATTATAGCTGTCAAAAGTCACGCGTATGCCGAGACACAGACTACTGCCTTGATGACTGAAGATACTTCGCCTTTGCCTCGTTACTTTAGGCCCACAGCTTTGACTTCACCATCCAATGTAGAAAAGACATATTTAGTAGACAGTGCGATTGTTATGACCGATGGTGTGTGCGGATCTTCCCCTCACGGGTCATTTTCACGATTTGTGTATGTTGGATTTATCGGGTCTAATGCGAGTCTCATAGGGCCAGTAGGTCGCCTGGCGTTGGGCTTTAGTCTTTCAGACAGCACGCTGGTTAAAAAAATTCTGTGCCGTGTTCATAAAACTGAATTTGTAATATTTAGTTTGCACAGCTACCCTTTATTTCGACCAACTACACTCCGCACAGGAGTTGGCGCATGCACCTCACCAGCTTCTGGGCGCCTTATATGAAGAGCTAAGCTCGCAACCTATTGGCTACTTCCAGCATCTTTGTTATTGTTATTTTTGTACCACATTACTGCCACTCGAAATCGGAATTGTCGGAGAGAGGAATATAGATTCCATCATTCCCGCTTGCCGCCTCAGGGTCTTCGTGTTCTCCCCAATTTTTTGACGCAGCGCTATTCAGCAGAGTGGAAAAGCATTTTTTGCAAAAGTTTGACTATGCTTGGAACAACAGTCGTCAGTTCGCTGTTCTCGTTCTTACAATAATTCGCTACCGCCTTAAAAGATTCGATATATTACCGCACCTTTTGATCGAATTTTGGAACGTAAAATCTGTCAACCAGCTCCCCAAGCTTTTTGAACTTTTACGGCCTGCGAATAGTAGAACTGTTCTCCTTTCTCAACTCCTCGTGTTCGATCGAAGCTTTATTCTGTAAACAGCATCTGTGCTTTTAACTTCAGTCTGAAATAACAGGTCTAATAGCTTTGCTCGCAATCATACCTGCCTTGGCGACGGTGCACAGGAAACGAGAAAAAATTAACACATTACTCGCGAGTTTCGGTCGCTGAGCAAAGCTTTCTGAACGCAGCAGTGAGAATCGAGCGGCGAAATGTCTGGCTATCTGTTCTGATTGGCTAAGGCTTATATTTTTTTTTGCTGCGCGGAAACAGTAATTGAGTCAATGTCGGCCCTTCGGATTGTGCGTACATCTCAAAAACAGGAAGAATATCTATCACCTTTCTTGCTATATCTTCAGATAGCCAGGCGGCCATAACGGCCTTATCCAACATGTCCATCACCCCTGGGCGCGACAAGGAGTGCTTTGACATTATCCAACTCTTGGCAGTATGGATCACGGTAATACTATGCTGGGTACCAGGACACTGAGGGATCGTAGCTGACGAGGTCACCGACGAATTGCCTAGGGAAGGCTGATAGTCTGTACTTGAGGGGCCGGAACCGTTTTGTGGACTCAGTTGATCGACCTCGAGACTCATAAGCGGCTAAACCCGAAAAGCGGTAAGTACTCGCGAGAGGTAGCGGGCTTTAGACAGGCCAGACCCTGAGGTTCGAGAATTCATCTACCAAGAAACTTTTAGCTTTTATTAGGGAGGCCGATAACATCTTGGGCTGTAAGTGTTAGGTACCATCGTGGGGATACCAAATATCTTTAAGGTCGCGGTGCGCTTGTTTCTTTTGAACCCATTAAATTTGCATTTACAATATCACAACATAATATAATCATATTTTTCGATCTGGGGACAGTGCCACTGTTGGACCAAAGAAACCACATAGCGCCACCCGGTCATTAAAGAAGCCAAAGCACGATTTTAGGTCATCGCGATTTTACCGTTAATAAGCGCCCTCTCAGCACTTAAGCTATCGATGGACATTGGATTTAATCCTGGAAATATTTCTCTAACGTCACATCACTGTCCACCACCTTGTACGAGCGACTGTGAATCGCACTCCGACAGAGACGCTCTCCAAAGACGCGCTCACAAGCATTTAGCCGCGCCTCACTTTTGATCGTTGCCATTGCTGATAGCAGCTGGCTAGCTGTCCCAGCCGCTCTACTCACTACAAGCAAACAATCACAGCTATTTGTGGCTTTGTTGTTTTACTCTCACCATAGCGGCGGGCGCTGCTTTGATATCAAACCGGTTAGCTTGAGTCGCCACCCGGGCCCTGCCGCATATGAGTAGTTACAAAAACAAAACACATGAACAAATCAATAATGCCCGCCTTCTTCCATATACATACATGCAAGCGCACACATGCAGGGTTAGAATAGTTGTATGAGTGAGTGTGTTTTTCCCCCTTATAGTTGTTGGTAAGTGAGCGCCACACTGTACTCCATTACCACCACCATCATGTAGCTGCAATAACAACAACAACTAATAAGCGCGCAAACAAACACAAACGAATACAATCCAATCGCGTGGCGGCAATTCGCTATCGTCGCGTTTTTGTTGTTGTGCGCAATAGTTGTGTTTTTGTATTTTCTTTTGGAAAGTGTTGTTGTTCGCTTGCCTTTATATTGTACTTCATTTGTATTTTCTAGTTTTTTTTAATTGTTTTTTTTTGCTTGATAGCAAACCAGTTCCGTAGTGTGGCGTTGATCGCGCGCGCGTTTTTTGCCTTTGCGCGCTGCGCCACAACGCGGCTTTGTTAATTTATGCTCGCGCGCTCTTTTAGTTGTACACCGAATGTCGTGCGGCTTGATCGCCAGATTGCGGCGCGAGTGTATTTTGAACCCGATAAGCAAACGTCCGTACGTATCATTTGGCGTATTTTTTTTCTGCAACACAAGGCCAACTACAAAGCTTGCGCCTCATACAAACAAGCTGAAACTAACGCAAGCAAAGAATCGACTTCCGTCGGATGTTGGTCAACTGGCTAAACATAGAAACGCGCGCGAATACTCCAACAAAACGAAACGTTTTTGGTGCAACGGCGGCTTCGGTGCAACGAAAATACTAGTATACCTATGCGACTAGGGAAGGTGGGCGCACATTTTGGAACCTTTTGAACTTGCTAGCCCCACGCGCTAACAGCAGCCGGTTGTAGGCGCGGCGCGCAAACTTTCGGTTCGTTGGTATTTAGTGCGGTGGTCGAATATTTAGATACCGATTCGTTGCGCAGATGAAACTAAAGAAAGTTTTTGAATAGTCCTAAAGTGTTTTTCGAATAATCGCAATTATGGCTGTGACAAGTCTTGGTGAAAAAATTTTAATAACAGCCAAATTATACATGGATTAACACAGTGCAATATAAAAAAAATTAGAAAAACCAAATTGTGAATTTAAATAAGAAAAGTGAAGAATCATTACAAAGCAAGTGTATGCAAATGAACAAAAGAAGTTTAAGTTCCTAGTGGGACACTGACATAAAACTGCAAAAATGGATATGACTAGCGCGAATTCGTTGAATATGCGACCTTTCTTTTCGGGATATCCTTTTCAAGGTAAACCAAAATGCTCTAATTTTAGGAATTATAAAAAAATTAGTTAAGGAATGTCAAAGCTTGAAGCAAAATATTTTTGTATAGCTTTTTATATTTCAACACCCAGCTGACGAAGGCTTGCTTCCAATTCGCTGGGAAATAGGCAGGCGAGTAGTTTACACAGTCTTTATACATACATTTCCAAAACAACCTATTCTTTGTAGCTTCCTAATGGCGGTAAAAATTATTTACCATTGACAGCCCAACTCCGACGCATTGATAAAACTAAGCACTGAATCTTGTTGCTTGCTCCAACCTGCTCATGCGACACGACCCTTAGGAGCGTACAGTAGAGGCTGTGGCTTAACATAAGAATGCGGGTGTATAATTCGATTGGCCTCGATAACTGCCAGTGTGGTTAGTGTGTCCATTCCGCACTGCCGATCCTGTACCTGTTCGCATTTCGGGGCACTGACGAACGCACTGATTTCATACGCTGTATTTATGAGCACCGTCTGGGTAGGCCATCGTCGACGTAAAACACACCGAACGCTGTCATAACTGAGGCGTTCAAAAAAATTGGTTTAATGAGCTATCTACTCCTCGATTTTTGCATAAAACAAATCTTAAATGCTTTTCCGACGGAAATATATCAGATCTCCGTCTTCATTTAGCACTACAACCGCTTGTCAGGCTGAGCCCAGACCAAAAAGTTTCTCCAATTGCCTCTCTCCTGTGCGAGTCTTCGCCAGTTTCTCATCCCGAGTGCAGGAAGGTCCTTCTGCACTGACCCTTCTATTTTGTTCGTGGGCACCCTTGCTTTCTTAGTCCACCCATGCGTGCGAAGTCGAACGATCTTTTCATTGGAGCGCCGTGATCCATGCGTATAATATTTCCAAGCCAGCACAATCGCTGTACTTTTTTGCGCTTAACTATGTCCATGTCGTTAAAACAGCTCATACAGTTCGTCATTCTATCTTCTCCTATACCTGTCGTCCACGCGAACAGGGCCGTAGATCTTTCGTAGAATAGTTCTCTCGAAAGCACCCAAAGCCTTCTAATCTGTGTTCGACATCGTCCACGTTTCTGCGCTATATAGAAGAACGGGTATGACGAGAGACTTGTAGAGCGTAATTTTTATTCGTCGAGAGAGGGCTGCTTCACAATTTCCTACCGAGCCCAGAATAGCACCTGCTGGCAAGAGTTATACTTCGCTTGATCTCCAGGCTGGCATTATTAGTGGTGTTTATGCTGGATACTATGTAGACAAGAACGTTCACTGCTTCAAAGTTATAGCTGCCATCAGTGACGTGTGTCCCGAATCGCGTGGGCTCTTTATATGTTGCCAGGAGGTACTTTGTCTTGTCTTCATTGACCGCTAGACCAAGCCCTTTGGCTTCCTTTTCTAAACTGAAAAGTATCAGATTTCAGACCCTAAAAAAGTTACACGAATATTGAGTGGTGGCCATCCCAACGAATGCAATGGGATAAATAATATTACGGGCTTTAGGTTACTAAAAATAAAAGTCAGTCGGGTACAGTGCCCTCCTTAAAGCTCTTCCTACTGACTATATAAAGATTGAGACATGAACCTACCACAAACGCTGCACAAAATTAATAAGCCTCAAAACTAAATTTGTGGAGAGACTTATTGATTGAAGCATATGGCTGCCTTTACAGACGGATCAAAGATATAATGTAGGGTATGCATAACTCAATGTTAAGCTATGCTTCAATTCGTCTACATAAAGTTGAACACCTTGAGTACCCGGCCCTTGCAAGAGTGTGGCTTAAAACACTGGGCCAAACATTCCTGCAGATTATTTCAGATTGCAACCGCTTATCTCTACGTTTGAATGAGTTTGTAGTTGGCTAGTGGCTCAGATTTTAAAATTTTGTGTCATCAGAATGGCAAACCACTGGATAAGTATTATGTTAAAGTGGGAATCGCTACATACGTGCCGAGAGCGAAGTTAGTCCCGGAGAGCTGCTCCGAACAAACTAGGAAGGCAAAACCCATTTGCCAGAGCCGCAAGCTAGCAAAGGTTGGGCAATCTAAGAGGAGGTGCTGACGTGATTCCATCTGGACATCCTCCGCGCAGCAGCAAAATAAAGGGTAAAGGAGGATGTGGCCTGTCAGTACACCCACCAGAATCGATAGATCCGGCTTCGGGAGTCTACTGAGATCCAGCGGCAGCTCCAAAAAATTTATCTCTCTAAAATATATCGCCTATTTACTGAGACTGTCAAAGCTCAAAAAACGATCAGTGATGCAGAATTACTCGTTATATTATGCTCCTAACTCAGTACAAATTTCGTGCTAAAATCGTGACTGTTTTCCGCACAGAAAAACATCAATATGCATCTTGCTAAGGACATTGGAATGGAAAGGCTTGGAATTGTGGGTGGCCGTAAACTCCAAAAATAAAATAAAATTTCCAAGCACTCAGGCAATATTGCCCATTGTATTTAAGGTATAAAAATATTATTTAAAAGATATGCAAAGACGGTTGGGTGGGAATTTATTGCTGCTCTGCAAATTTACCAGACTATTTTATAAACCTTAGCAGTTTATAGAGAAAAAGAGAGTGTACCTCGTCCATTCTCAAAACACCCGACCCATTCCACCCCATCAGTCCTATTCAGGTTGTTTCCTAGGCGTCAGTACTACACGGCTCATATGAGCTTTATTAATGAAATCCTTGAATTACCCGAATGTTCCCGCTATGTTTGGCCCCAAAATTGGTTCCGGTTCAATTGGACGCTCCAAAGAACCACAGTGGGACAACTCAACAGCCAGTTCGATGCTTTGAACACCGCAGTGTCCCAGCATCCATACCAAACTTCAGTCAAAAAATTCAGACGGACAGTCAAACAGATGGGCATGGACATGGCTAAGTCATCTTGTCTTGCTGATCATTTAGGTACAACTTCTTCTGGGTTTATCTGTTCTTTTTCTTGTATTTACCAACATCATACCAAAGTTATAATTTGTATATGTACATGGAAATAAGTATAATTTATGAATATGCGAACTTATTTACACAAAAAGTTTATTAACTTACAATCTTATAAACGAAACACTTCTTCTTCAGGTCAAGGTCGCGTCAATCAGCTTGGCGGCGTATTCATCAACGGACGACCGCTACCGAATCACATTCGTTTGAAAATTGTCGAAATGGCCGCCAATGGCATACGGCCTTGTGTGATCTCCCGCCAGCTACGCGTTTCGCATGGTTGTGTATCGAAAATTTTGAATCGTTATCAGGAAACTGGTTCAATACGACCGGGTGTAATAGGCGGTTCCAAACCGAAAGTCACATCTCCGGAAATCGAGGCGCGTATCGAGGAGTTGCGTAAAGCGAATCCGGGTATATTCAGTTGGGAGATACGCGAGAAATTAATTAAGGTGAGTGAATGACAGTTTTAAGAAATTGGAAAATATTTTTTTTATTGATTGGGTGGTGAGGAGTTTGAATATAATACGATGTAAGCTTGCATTCTGGGATAGTCCCTGGCTTATTTCTCATCCGACCTCTTAATACCATAAATCAATATCAGCATTCTTTGTTGATAGAAGCTAATTTTACTAAACAAAATTATTCCATGAATTTTAACCCCAGCAGAGTATTAATTTATAACCACTGATATATGTATAACATACCAATCTTGTAACCATAGAAACAACTCTAGCATTTTTCTGGCCTTTATCCAGCATTTCTCTATATAAAGCTGTAAGACTGGTGGCGGTTCTGCAGAACTTTTAAGTGATATCTTATACCATCGATCTCAGCAAAGGGTCCTGAGCTGTGATAGACTGATTTCGGTATTTTCTTCAAGGTTATATGGGACTTGTCTACGAGTGGATGAGAACGTTTAGATTTTTTTGTATCTTTGTGTTTGTTAAAGGTGTGTAGTTGTGGATGTAAGACTTTGGTTCGAATAAAAATCCGTCTACTCGCAAACACCGAATTTCCTTTGAGAAAGATATAAGGAGCCTATTGAAACCTGAAGGAAAACGCAGGAATACTATCTCGCAGCGGTCCCTGTCAATCCTAAGAAGAGTCCCTAAAAGGAACAGTCCAGCGCCTTCGTCTTGGTCTGCAGGCTGTATCGGAGATACACCCGCTAAATTTAAACGTAGAATACGTGGTATGGTTAAGAGCATATCCAAGTCAAAAACGAAAGCACAAACTAAGAAAAAAATATCGATAACAAAAGCGATAATAAAATCGATAACAAAATCGATAAAAATATCGATAACAAAATCGTTAACTAAATCGATTACAAAATCGATAAAAAATCGATTACAAAATAAGAAGAGTCCCTCAAAAGCAAAAAAACAAACCGTAGAAAGACTCAAAACAATTATGGAAGAAATTCGGTGGTCATACCGTAGAACACGCCAAGGCAAGTCGTTTATGAAATGTCCAATTTAAAATTCTAGTGGTGGCGATAAGCTGAACATGCTTATGAATAGACACTCTCCAGATATGTACATACAAAACAGCATTTAACTTGATTAGATCTATTCCCAAAAGGTTCGGCTGATATTGTATTTTAGCAAAGGCAGAATGGGCCATTCGAACTACGCAAATCTCCGGTTTAGATTACTCCTTTCTCGTCGAACTTCCAAAGTATTCTACCCTTTATACCTTCAATGTGTCATTACAAAATTCTTTACACCTATCATATTCTTACGAAGCGAATTTTCTGCTGGAACCGTACAAACTCTGGTTTAGGATACATTTTCTTGTGTTAACAAAAGATGAACTGTAGGAATGAAGTGAAGTGAGGGGTAGCACCCCAAATTTGGTTGAGACCGAATCCCTGTGAATGCCGTTTATGGCCTGTATGTACGTTGTTGGGTACAGTGGCTGTGTTATGAACCTCTGGACTTCGTCAGTCAGCTCGTATAGATGACCCCACTAGTAACTGCTTGCACAGCATGGTATTGTGCGCCTTGACGGGGAGTATTTCGGTCACGTAAGTCATCCCTTGGCGGTCCGATGTGCCGTCTTTTGGCAAGTCTGTAGTTTCAAGCATGGTTTAGGGCTGGCCGGCTAATTACCTTGTAGGGTGCCAACAACGTTTCCTTGTCTTTGCCTTAGGTGCTGTCGACTAGAAATCTGAGGACCTTGTTTCGGCTCTGTACTCTATTGACAAATTGCGTTTATGTGCGCCGATAAAAAGGTAACTCCGAGATCTGAAGCAACCACCACAGTCTCATCCATTCTACATTACCTTAGAGGTTGTGACGTGTTTTATGGAGGCATTATGACCACGGTCTTGACATTGCCAAGGAGCGGCTGCTTTAGGACAACAAATCCCATGCGGCCAAATGTGCGCTATTTAGTTCATATCAAAAATTATTGATAGGGTTCGCCGATCTAAACAGGTTTAGGTCACCGAAACAATAGTCCGAATTAACATCTAGCCAATGAAGCGGTATCACAACGGAGCCTGCTTAGGAATGAATGTGCCTTCGTCCGAGATCTGAATGAAAGCAACCACCACAGCCTAATATGACCCATCGTATCTTAGAGGATGTGGATTTTTTTGTAGTGGAATTGTGTCCATGGCTTCGAGATCGCCGAGCAACAGCTGCTATAAGTTAGTAATTTTAAATTTCATGCGACACGCATCGAGCAAAGGTCTATAGATTGATAAGTCGAAAAATTACCCGCGTTAAAAAGAACCTCGGCGAAATACGCATTATTTATTGAAAGGTCTTTCATATTAAATTTGTGGCACGTTCTTTTACGTGGTGATAATCTGTTGAAAAACGATTTTGGTGTTTTCCGATCAAAACTAACAAAAGAACAGCCTTCGGTCGTGGAAAATCCCTAGTCATTCCGGCAGGTAGAACCGGCTGTCGTAGGAAAGCGACTCTCGACTTACGAATGCCGTGATATGAGCCCAATCTCCACTTATTGCAGACAACGAGCTCCTGCCTCCACATGAGACACGCGTCACTCTGGTCCGATTTCGATCTGGATACTGTATCCGTCTGAACTTTTACTCATCCAGACTCGACCTCGACATAACAAATGAGTGTCTCTTC